GAAAACTTCCGCTTCGTAAGTCAATATGACTCGGCTGCGAGAAACCCACATGGAATGAATGAATGAAATCAGGAATTTTGAAGATTTTTATTTTTTTTTTATATAAGTGATGCTTCAAGCTGACTCTGTGGTCTATGATGTCTGTATATCCTGCTCCCCTGACGAGGGCTGTTAGTGCTGAAACTTGTTGGTTTTTCTTATTGCTGAGGAGCAGCTTACTTAATTTAACTCCCTCAGTTCAATTTGAGCCATGTAGAATAGAGAGGCGGTGCCAACAGTTTTACTGGGGTAGTTTTACCTACTGGAGCACCAACATGGTAAAAGGTAATTCCAATGCATTACAACATGGGTTTTCCCATTGTTGCATTGGTCATGAAGGTTGATGCGTGCTTACAACAAAGTAAGTGTGGCCACATCTTTGTGTTAAAGGCTTTATGACTGTTTTAAACGACCACACTTGAAGGCTGAGTGAAAAAGCTGCTGTTACAGAAGGGGCCACGATGTGATGAATGGGGAGAATGTTGCACACTTTTCAGTGGTCTTTCCTCAAATGCAGTCGTGTTGCTGGGAACAAACACAAGAAAAATGATGGAAGTAGTCGTAGAATAAAAAAGAGAACTTTAGAGAGAAATACTCACACCCTGCCAGTCAATGCATCACTGTCCGATTGTCGGTTTCAGGAAGTTAAATGAACTGTCCGACCAGCTGCAAAATTGGAGAGGTGTGGTAGCTGATCCAACAAGCACTTTGTCTATTTCTCTATTTGCAGAGGCAGGGCCATTGGGAGGAACACTAGAGTGCATGTACAGTCCACGAAATGGAAGCCAGGCCAAAAGCTACAAAGCTTATTTGGTTTATGGACTCGGTGTGCATACGTACTGGAGGTACAACTTGGCGTACATTTGTTGTCGTGGTGTAGCTGTGTTCCAAATTGCGATAAGGAACGTAATACCCAAATTTTAATACCCAACACTGAACATTGTACAGGATGGTATGTGCTGCAAATTTGCAGCTCGTCCAACAAGTCGTGCTTTTTTGACATATTTGTACAAGTAAACATTTTTTTTCTACCAATAAAGGGAGGCACTGTTTGAAAGAACAACACCACGAAGACAATTTGTCATCCTATAATTAACAAAAACATTAATAGATGTCATGTTTGTCTGTGGAAAAGTTAAGTAACACTCTTGGCCTCAGAAGCTAGCGCTGATCTTTTTCACAGGAAGAAGTCGTTGTAGTTGTTTTGCACGAATGTCCACCAGTATCTTACTTAAAGTTACTGAAAGGGGGAATGAAGCACTCAGTCAGGTTAGTACTGGTTGAACTGCTGCACCAGTGGGTTTGCTGTGGTCTCAACTGGTCTGTCAGTTTCATCCTGTTCCACTTTAACAGGAATATGTTCAACATGGTTCAGAGATGCTTCACCGTGTTGACACGAGTTTAGAGTAACAGGAACTTTACGTCACTGCTTTTACTGGAAGGTTTTTCGTACAGTTATTCTTTCTTTTTTTTTTTATTGGGTAAAGCCGACTGAAAGGATGTTTGCTCACATTGCAAAGGGAAGAAACATGAGGACAATAACAGAATTGGAAATACCTGAGGATGATCTAAAGTTTGGAGTGTTGACTGACTGCTTTAAACATAAAGTCTTAAAGGTAAGAAATGTTATTTAGAGGTTTGCATCAGCGCTGAGCTCCTGTGTAGTCTGTGGTATGAAATGACACGAGTTGAGAATAAATGCTTAGAACGATTGTAGTTATTTATATATTTTATTTTGGCTGCTAAATTGTAAAGCCTAGCTCCCATTAGATAACTCTGCTAAGATGTGATGGAGATCTTTGAGCTGGAGGACGACAGGTGTTCTCAGTGAAACGTGTTGTGTTGAACTTTATTGTTGTCACTGATGATGTTCTTATCAAACAACTGTTGGTCTCAGTAGCTGGTGCTGTCTGTCTTTAGCTAAACCTGCTCAGTGAACCAACCACGTGTCATCACCGGTTATCGTACTACAAGATGGCAGCGACTCAAAACCATCTTCTTTTTCCATGTATATGCTTATGCTTTGCTGTTTCTAAATACAGTAGAAATATATGTAGTGAAATGCGCTAACTTGACTGAGTGCTTCCTTTCTCGTTTAAATTTCTGATTAAATCTCCTCTGTTGCAAAATCATTTAGAGTTTTCCTGCATATACTGTGAGTCCCTCACATTTCGAAGGGCTTCAAATCTGTGTTTGACTTTGTGTTTCCAGAACCCTCTATTTCTTTTTGAGCGTTTGCACCATCATGCTTCAAGTTCTTCTTCTGAAAAGCTGGTCTGCACCAAAGATGTCTGCTGTTATTTTGGCCCAACAACCCTTTGATTCATCTGTCCAGAGCACATTAGCATCATCTTTATCTATATCTGTTTCAAGACAATCAAGCATTTGCTTGTCCAAAAATGTACAAAGCCAACATTTCCTTGGATGTGCGTATTTTTCCACCGGACTCTAGAAGCAAAGGAATAAAAAGAATCCAGCGGCTCCTCAGCAATAAGAAAAAACATGTTTCAGCAGCAGCAGCTCTCATAGGGGGAACAGGATGTAGGCTAAATACATATTCAATAACATATAGGCCGCGTGGTTCCTCAAGAGCCCGCCGAGTTAAACATTGCATGTCTTAAGAAAATCTTCAGAATTCAATAGTTTCATTCATGCATTCCTGTTGGGTCTCCGAGCAGCTGAGATGTATTGAATTTAAGGCCTTTATCAGCCCATTGATTCCTTTCTGTCTTCAAATAACTTCACATATATGACTCAACTAAAGAACAGCAACCATAACAATCGTTAAGACTTTAACTCTATTTTTCATTGACTTCCAGGATTCTATGGTGCAGATTCAATAAAGCTTTGTGCTGCGCCTGCAAACTGCCAAATGGAGTTGAAACAGAGGGATCTGATGGCGCTGGTAGGAAAGAAAAAAGAAACAACAGGCACATTGTGCATGTGTCAGTGATGCATGTTTAATCTCTTTCGTCTGAGCGCTCGGTAATGACTCTGAGGTGGAGGTGGTTCTCAGTTCACGTCGCCACATTTTCTCCCTCATAAACTGCGGCGCAAACAAGATCTTTTACAGAGAACTGTGGTTAGTTAATTTGCACTAGCTGATTCTCTGATGCCATGTTCAGTGAGTAGCTCATTTGAAGCTGCACTTTTGGATGCTTATTACACCTGCTGATTGATTGCTGTGCCCTGTTGGGGTTTATTTGGACTTGAAATGCAAAAATTTTTCCTGGTGAGCAAGTTGGAAAAATTGTGCTGTAGGCTTCAGATGGGGGGAAGAAAAAAATTGCAGTTGAAATACAATCTCAGTCACAATCTCCCAACACATCAGAGCCTGAATGTTTTGAGGACAGCGCCTGGTGGAAGGAGGAAACTCCGTCTTGGCATGTTGCTAGGCGATGCATTAATATTAATGTTGTCTTTTCTCAGAACGTGTGCACTCTCTGCCCCCCTTGGGATAAACTGAAGCTTAAAGATATCTCAGTCTCACTGATACTTCTTTTATCCTTCTTAAAACTCATATCAAAGGTTTTAATTACATTTTGCTAATGTAATGCTGCAGTGCTTTGTCGAGAAACCACAATTGCCTTTTGAGTTTCCAGTTTGCGGCGCTGATATGCTCGGCTCGGTGTAATTGAAAAACGGCTATGTGCTGTATCTGCTCATGTGCTGTTTGAACATGTGAGCATGTTTGAGTTTATCATGTTTTCAGATTGAAGCTTATTTTACCTCGATCTGATCGTCATCATATCTGAACCAGTCTTCAAAAACCTGAACTGAAAAAGCTAAAGCGTCATGATTGCTCTGTTTTAATCTGATTTTTTTTTCCTGTTAAAAATCATTTTGCACAGGAGAAATATATCTGTGATGGAGTTCACCCTCTGCCTTACCCTTTCCCCTGCCGGGCTTTTAGCCTGGAGTCTTTGTCGTAGACCTCCCTGCTGCCCTCTCTGCAAAACCATTTTCCTGGCACTGAAACACAGATGTTATCCATCTGATTAAACGTTCAAGGTTACATCTCTAAATACATCAAAGTCTACCTCTCCCGAAAGAGGAAGCGTGACAGCCAGTATTTTTGGTAGCCTGGAGGTGCAAGCTCCAGTGTCCTCCCCTTCATTTTTTTTTCCGAGCACATGAAAGGGACTGTAGCACTTGTCGTGTCTGCTCAAGTAAATCGGTGTCTCCGCTCAAATTACAAAGTATTAATGGTGACCGCGCCTCAGCCAATAGGTGAGGTGAGTGAGGCTGAAGGGAACTAACATTTTGTCAGTAAAAACTGAATAGATAAGGTTGATTTTCCAGGCCTAAAAAAAGGTTGAACAAATCTGCTGAGTGCCTCTCAGAGAAGATCAAAAAAATCAGTGTCAGCCACTGCTTCCTAGGTTTCAAACCTGGCTTGTGGCGTTATTTTGTCAGTCTTACCTCAACCTCAGCCACATGAGACATTGTGCTGCTGTCGCCGGTCGAGTCGTGCTTTAGACGGCTGGTAAACTGACCTTTATGTGTCGCCTAATGTTGGCAGAGTTCCTCTTAGTGAAGCAGAAATGCCAAACATTTGCTGGTTCCAGCTTATTAATTATAAGGATATTGTTTGAATATGTCACTTTGAAAAATGGAAACGTCCTTTTGAATTTTGCCTCTCAATTTATGGACTGGCAGGGGAACTGAATTTAAAAAAATATGTTGAAGGAATAGTTAAATATTTTAAAATATCCTTTTTTTTTAAACCAAAGTAAGATGAACGTTAGATGCAAGTGATGAAACTAATATCAGTTAATCTTGTCCATAAAACATAGACATTTGAAGTGCTCATCACAATTTCTGAAAGTTCATTTTCACGCATCTTGTTTTGTCTGACCATGAGTTAAAAAAACAAAAAGCTGTTTAACTTATATCATAGAAGATCCTAACAGATAACTTGCTGCTTTGACTCATTACTTGTTTTTCTTCCTTCTTTCTAGAGATCGAAAAAATTCAGAAAGATGAGGGGAAGGAAGAGGAGAAGTTCATTGACGTCGTCATCAACAAGAACATGAAACTGGGCCAGAAAGTTTTAATACCAGTCAAGCAGTTTCCTAAAGTAAGTGCTATAGCACCACCACTAGAGACTTCTCTCAGAATGTGCAGATAGAGAATTTGAGATTGTGTTATTTATAGATAATGAAGTCAACTACAGTAGCTCTGGGTTTGATTTAAATTCCTTGTAACAGCCACTTGACACTTTTTGTTGATGCTTTATGTTATTAGATGTAGCATATCTGGAAGATGGTGTTCAAGCAGAGAGCTGGCTGACAGAACTGGGGTAGAACTATGTTCGGGATGTTGCTTAGTGTCTGAAGAGTTGTTAAAGCTTCTGAAATGGTACAAATGTGAGTCTCACTCCTCTCTCACACCTCTCCACTGCGCTAACCTTGGTCAATGACTCTTTGATGTCTCGCTATATTAATTTGTCAATGAATATTTATGAATATATGATTTAAAGGAATTATCTCGCAATGGATTTCATTTTCTTGAGTGTGCGGCGGATTTCTTGTGATACATGGTGGATTCTAGGTCAGGTTTCGAGCTCTAGAAGTCTTTCTTTCACGGAAATTAATAGCTTGTACAGTGAGAGCGTGACGGCGGCAATGCAGCCCGTACGTCACGTATATACGCCAAGACAGCGAGCTTCATGATGACCTCCGCGTAAAAGCTGTTTTGAGCGATAACGCCGTCGCCACGTTTGAAAGCACTTCAGCCTCACCTGCCACGAGAAGCCTTCAGTGGCAGCAAAGCTTATTGGAGTCACGAGCTCGATGCATGACAGGGATTTCCCACTGGGAGCACGACGAGGAGGCTAGTGTAAGAGTGAGCGGGCCACTCTTAGGCTGGGGACATCACTCAAGTTTTCACCTCAGCCCTCCAGAGGGAAGGACAGTGGCATCCTGCAGTTTGCCAACGGAGAGGACGAGAGGAAGGAAACACTTCACAGGAGTCAAACACAGAACCTATTTTAGTTTCCCAAAAACATGCTTTCCTGCTCAGCATCACACCAATTTTAATGACATGCACAGTAAAATAGTGACAATTTCAGCTGAGCATTCTTGGTGTAAAAATCAGTGATGTACCACTTTTATATTAATCCAAATCCAGCACTTAATTTAACACTTTGTGTTGCATCTGCAACAGACACATCCAACTTTCTTTAATTTAAATTATTTGTCGTGTAAAAATGAAAACTATATGCATAAAGAAAAGGAAGGAACCACGAGCAGGGTTGTAAAATTAGATTTTTTTTTCTTAAATCTGTTTTACACTTCTTTCTAATTTGAAATGTAGATATGTTTCACCTTCTCTGCGCGCCTGAACATGCTCAGCAACCGCTGATTTGTTCTAACAACAATCATTTACAAGCAAAGCTGTTGTGAAGCAGCACACAGCCCAGCTTTGAGTCAGGTCTCCTGTCAGCATTCTAACCTACTTGCAATGACAAAGAAGTGAATGCGTTCTAAAAAAAAAAAATGTACCATACAGTTGTCATGAACTGAAAAAATGCCTACTGGGTCCTAAATTGTTTTTTTTTTTTTTGTACCAAGCTGTAAACCTGCTTATTTCTGCTTAACATGGGGGTCTATGAGAACGGACTCACTTGTGGAACCAGGGACAAGTGGCTGTTTGTGGAACTGCAGTTTCTGGCACTTATTGTTGACTTGAGTGGGTTATTCTCCAGATAACAAACCCATATGTACAAAACTACGTCTACAGACCGAACAGTTCTCTTGAAAACCATTCCTGAAAGATTCTGTAGAGCTGAGTGCGCATAGTAAATGTTTTCTGAGGAGACTTTTTCCACTTTCAAGGCAATTAACTGATGCACATGTGCACATTAGGCTGCACAGTGGCTCGGTGGTTAGCACCGTCACCTCGCAGGATAGCTGGTTCGTATCCCAGTTAGGACGCCTTGGATCTTTCTGCATGGAGTCTCCCTGTGAAGTGTGGTGTCCTCTCCGGGTTCTCTGGCTTCCTCCCACACAGTCCAAAAACATGTTGAGGTTAATTGGTGATTCTAAATTGTCCGTAGGTGTGAATGTGAGTGTGCTTGGTTGTCTGTCTCTAAGTGTAGCCCTGTGACAGACTGGTTACCTGTCCAGGGTGTCATCTGCCTTCACCCTGAGTCAGCTGGGATAGACTCCAGCACCCCCGCAACCCCAGTGAGGATTAAGTGGTGTATAGATAATGGATGGATGGATGGATGGACATTTGCATAGTGTGCATTTGTATAGCATTATAATCTTAAGCCACCACCAGAACATTGTACTTGTTCGCTCTATAAGATTTGCAGCAAACTTTTTGAATCATGTCTTATATTTGTTCTTCACATGTGCCCAGGGCAGTTTAAAAAGGCCACGCATGTAGCCGAAGGAAGTAGGGTCAAATTAGTAATGTACATGTAATTCAGCTAAATCTAAATAAGAAACTATATAGAAGCAGCTTATACACAGTTATAATTGTGGTTAGATCGTACTGTATATGGGGCAGTGATATTGATAAGCCTCTTTACCTACGTTCACTCTGCAGTCCTTCCTGACTCTGGCTGAGATGCTTTAATCCTGTACAAATTCCTCATATTGGTTTAGGACCATCATTTGTTCTTCTTGTGAAACATGTGTGGCTGTAGACCTGTCCATGTTTGCTCACCTGTTGCCAACACCTTTCATAGCTAGATGCAGAAAACCTGGGTTGATTTACAGAGTTGATAAGCAGCTTCATGTGTATGCTCAGCACATGCAGCTGTAGGTTTAACAAAGTCAGATAACGAAAAGACGCCCTGTGTTTGTTGAACTGGTTCATACTCCAGGTCCCTGGTATCTACATGCATTCTGTTGTAGAGCTTAAATTAGTTCTACAAAGTAATCTTGATGAGTGAGTTTGTGCCACATATATGTAGTGTTATCAGAGACTGATCTGAGTCTGCCAGGTTTACAGCTAAACAGATTTGCTTTGACAGCTTTGATAAGTAGAGCCACTAATATCCTGTTTAGAGCTTCAACAAGCCACCGAAGGAAGACAAATTCAATTTGTTCTATCTGACAGGTAGCAATGGCAAGAGTGATCGGTCTGACTGGAATGGGTTTTCTCCTGAGCTGTGAGCATCACCTTTTGGCTTCTGGCATTGAAGTGGCACAGCCATTTTCCAAATAGCCATTTAGGAACACGTACAGAGAGGTTAAATCCATCCTCAGCAAACATAGCTTTTTATCAAAATGAAGCACGCAAGGACACCACGCAGCAAGTTCCAGACTGCTGACTCGCTGTGATAAAATAGAGCTGTTTCTCAGCAATGATTTTTAATCCTCAACGCTGATGAATTTTTTTTTAGACTTTGTAGGAGATTGGTAAGAGTAATGATATTATTGTGTTGTGTGGTGGTGCGCTGTGTAATGGACACTTAAGCGATCCTTTCTGTCTCATAGATGCTCACCAGCAGCTTTTAAGAACATGTCATGATTTAATTGAATCCTTGTCTACAGAAATAGAGATTTTAAATCATGATTTAACCAGCATGACACATACTGTCACACCTACTCAGGACCTAAAAATATCCCGGCTTTTGAACACTGGTGCACTATCAGTGCTCATCTGTACATTTCCAGGATCTGTGGGCCCTCTCTTAGAAAGCATCTTTTGGCAGAAAGCACCACAGGCCATTAGCGAGGCGTAAGGAGTCCCACAGGTTTATTTCCAGTTCAGACTGTGGCTTTTCTGTGTGCTGGGAGCAGTGATTTATCCTACTGTTGTCGTTCCTCTCCTGCTGTCCTCAGCACAATCACTCTGCGCTGGCTCTCTGTGAGCACACCTTTCGCCAGACTCACAGTAATACATTCAGCAAATGATGAAAAGATCTCAGATGTGTCCCCCTATCCTTCAGCTACCCCACCCCCTTCAAGTTAAGTATGATTAATCATATATCCTTTCTGTGTCTGATGTCTTTCTGATCATCCGCGCAATGTTTTGTATTTTGTTTGTTTCGGCTGACAACAGGTAACAATTCGGATTCTGTCAATCTTTTTTGTCGGCATTTCATTTGCATGTATTTATTTTCCGTGCAACCAACACCACAACAGAGCAGCAGGTGACAACCTGTGATTAAACACATCAGCTTTTATTCTGGTGATTACAGACGGCAGACGCACAATCCTCTCACACAGTTTAATGACATGAACCAGTGCAGAAGCTCAGGCAGGTTTTTGTAAGTCACATAATCCCTCGTGACAACTAAAGCATTAGCCAAACCCCGAAGCATCAATCACCGTCGAAGTCAGACAGATTTTGATATCTGATAAACAGCAGGGATTACTGTTATTTGTTCAGTAAGACTCATATATTTGGAGGATTGACCATACGAGGAGACGTGTGCCAGGCTGACTGGTGGTGTGTTTAAACGTTTGGATTAAGACTTCTCTTTGACATTTACTGGCATTAATCAAACAAATACTAAATAAATCTGCATGATCTCTTTTTAAATAGTCAGGAACGTAGCATAGCACCGAACAAATAGCATTACATCATGTCACTGTATTATCCATAAGACACATGTAGCGTCAGAGTAGATCATACCCACGGTGCCTGGTGGCTCCTCTTTAACCTTTGCTTCCTCCCCTTTACTTAATTAATAATTAGATGACTTCAGTTATTAATGTATACAAGTAGAGCACAGTCAGCTGCAAACTAGAAATGCTGTCAGCCTTCTACCTCAGATGTTTTGTTCATGTGCCTTTGACTCCTCACGGCAAACGCTTGAGAGAAACGTAATGCGACGTTTCTATTAAAATAATTTTAATGAACATATACGCAGAGTCTCTTACACTTCTCATCTTTTGCAGTAATGTGACTTTAAGTTGCAGCTGAAGCATCATTTACCCTCATCTGGTGGTTTTTAGGTGCACGCAGCACAAAGTGAAACTGCAGCGGGACTGAACGATTTGAGGAAAATATCTAATTGCGATGTGTCTGACGGATATTGAGATTTGATTTGCGATATCATTTTCGGTCCGGCTTCAGTTCAGTATTCACCGCGTAATAGATTTAAATGTGATGGAG